TAAAATACAAAGATCTTGCTTTTAAAATTGTAGAATGAGCCTTAAAAATTTTAACGTTCTTGTCTGTTCCCACTTTAATTTCTACATCATAAAAGTCTGATTCATTTAACAGATTTGTTAAATCATTTATAAGATTGTTGATGTATTTTAATGATGGCACTAGGCTTGAAAATTTTATTTTAAAAAAAAAATTTATTTTAAATTTATGAATTTATTATATTAAACTAGAGTAATGACAAGTGGTGGGCAATAACCACCACCACCATCCTTATTCTTAAAAAATTTACCCAGCAATGTTTTCTTGATCGTTTTCTTTTCTTCTTTTATTATTTTGACTTCTTTTTTAAAAATAAAAAAAAGAAGTTTGTTATTTGATCGACGTGTACACATTAATTATTTATCCTATTGGTTTTTTTTTTTTTTGGTAGGACAGATGCGAATTGATTTTTTTTTTTTTTGGAAAAACATTTATTTTTTGACAGAGTCCAAGGTGACAAAACGTGAGTGTTGTTGTTTGGTTTGGTTTGGGTCTCCTAAAGAATACGTTTTAATAACTAACCAGAAGTACTTTTTTTTTTATTTGTATTGTCTTTTTTGGAATTCAAAACGTGGAGCAGATCATTTCTGGGTAATTACAAGATTTTCATTGATAATATTTTGCTTTGTGTAATTGTAATAATAATACTATTATTAATATTACAATCACAAGATCTCAAGGCAGCACACTGTTGAATATGAGACATTTTGAGTATGTGATGTTTGATTATTGGAAATTTTACAAGTGTTAAAGCATGCACACTACCTTGAACACTTTACAGTCATTCTCACATGTTCCTTGTGTACATAAGGCTAATCTGACCTGATGGATTGATGATACAATGATGCAACTGAATTCTGGGGGTAATACATGGCTCTGGAGTTTATCAAGACTGTATCAATCATCAATGATGCTTTCACTAATCTTCCCTTACAGCATCAGACCAGAGAAGGCTGCTGGCATGCTGGCCGAAAATTCTCCTGCAACAATCCTACCTCTAGGGTAAGGGTGGCTATGTGACCAAGTCGCAACTCTGTTGATGAATTGTAATATTAGGTGCACATAAACATCTAGATCCATCAAAGCAAAGAGAATCTGCAACTCATTTCAAGCACAGGAGGTCACAATCCAGAGCAGGATTGATGGCCCTGAAATTGCATTGGGCTCGATGTTGTGAGGAAAGCTGTAAAATAAAATGGTTCGGATTTTGTTTTGTATGTTATGCATAAATTAATCATTCCCAAATTTTCTATTTCTTTAATTTTTATTTGATCAACTGTATTTGTTATTTAAATGGGGATAGGGTTGTTGGTGAGCAGGCATGCCACTGACAAGATAGCAACCCAGGCCTCAAAGCTCTGAATTCAGGGAAAATCAAAACAGAAACTTCCCAAGTTGCTGAATTTTCAGCATACAAAGCAATCAGCACACAAATGCTGATCCTCATCAATGATCAATGCTCATATGGAAACAGCCAGCAAGCCTGAGGGGAAGATAAGAAAAGTTTTGTCCAAAGCCTTCCAGCATGTTCAGGACCACTACACCTGTGGAAAAAATTCCATGGTGCTGAATTGTGCTTAATTGCACTGTCTTGCATGTTTGTGATGGGAAAATTTAATTAAATCTGACACCCGTGATCAACATCAGATTTATTATAAGGAACCATAATTGATAATCAGGAAAATTAATTTATTTCATGAATCCCAGAGATCTGGGTTGACACATTATTAAGAGTTTCATTCATGCGTGGCCTTGGTAACATTACTACCTGGATGATGCAATTGTTTGTTATGTCAATTATAACATAAATCATGGATGGAGGCATTCACATACAAGGAAATGATTAAATAGCTAAGTCATGTTTGTCTTATTAAATATATATAATTAATTATATTTATAATATAAATAAAAAAATAGCAAGACTGCACCACTATGTCAATCAAGCTATCAAGCTGTTGTGTTTGTGCATGATTTAAAATTCTTTTGTGTTCCCGTCTTTCTTTGCTTATATATAATCTATTAGTTCTCCTTTTATTGGTTGAATGATGCCAAATTGGGTAATGGGGCATCAGTAAATATCAAAATCTGACATCTACCAATATTCTTTAAAAAATAATCAAGGTATTGGCACACTGGTTAGTGTTACGACCCGGATTGTTAACGGATTAACGTTATGGACCCGTTAAGAATTCATTAGGATTTTTTTCATCCGAATTGGTAACGGGTTAATCCGTTAAAATAGCAAATATTATTGGATAATATTAGTAATATGGTATTAATAAACCAAAAACATTTATTTGTTGGAATTTAAAATAATAAAATATATTTACTTTGGAATGGATTGTGATTTATTTCTTTTTAAGAACATATTTTTTTTAAAAAAATCATGTTTCCCTCCCTATATAGTCTAAGCTCTCTATACCGAACTTTTCTCCCTATATGTAATTTTTTGCTTTTGTTCGATATAACAAGAGAAATTAATTATAAAAAAATGAATCGGGGGCAAAGGAAATGTTTGTTATAGAGAGATTTTACTTGATGTTCATTATAGAGAGGTTCGGTATAGATAGCTTAGACTGCATTGTTTAAAAATTTTCTTTTCATTGAAAAATAATTTGAAAGATTGTGATATTAATTTTATTTTAATATTAATAGGTATTAATATTAAATAAATAAACATGGTCAAAAAGTTTTCACTCCAGCATAAAAAAAATCAATATTATTATTATTGTTGTTAATATTAACGGATCAATGGATTGTTAATTGTAATATTAATATTGATATTATAATAATAATAATAATAATAATAAGCTAACTGTAATCCGTTAACAACCCGTTATAATAACTGTTATCGGGCAAACAGCACTATTAAGCTATTTTTGGTTGCTTTGTTATTTTAGGCACAAAATGACGTCAATATGATCGATATACTATTTATACAACATTTCTATAAGATATAACTAAATCATATAATTAAACTTTAATAAACAGTGACGTTTGAAAGAATAGCTTAATAGTGATTGCCCGATAACATCGATATTAGGCGTGCGATGGACAATTTCAGTGACATCCAGGATGTCATGATATTGGCCGTTGCGCGCCCAATATCTTATACATGGAAATCAGTACTAGTACGGAATAAATACGGAAATAATACCAATACTAATACTGATACTAAATGAAAATATTCCTCAAAATTCGGTATGGTATGATCATAACGTTATGAATACCTTATACTAGCAATAATCTATTAGTTTTGAGGTAGTGCCGTTGGTTTGATGGACTATTGAATAGTAAATAGTTTTTTTTTGGCAGAGCAAATAAATTTTTAGGGTTAATTATCACTCTACTAACCAGTTACATACACACAATAAGATATACATCAAGTCGGATGCAATAATCAACGTTTAAAATAAATAAATGACCGACCTATCGAGTTTACATGTGTGTAGAATTTGAAAGAAGGGCCCAAAAAAACAAATCGGCCGCTATGGTAATTACATATTACCAGCAATTTTCCCATCATTATCCTTGTCCAAAGTTGATGTATAATGTTAATATATTGGCTGAAATGTTTGCGCTATATAAAAACAATCAATCGTCTGTCACGTCACTAAAATTTATTATTTAGTGATCAGCAAGTGTCGCAAGTATTTGATTTGATTGGCTAAATCGACTTTGTCAAATTTCGTCAAATTTCGTCAACCATTCTTAGTTCAAACTCCAGTTAAACTGCGATTTGGATTATCAATACTTGTTATACAATAAGTCTTAAAATAATTAATATGAAAGTCTAGGTTTTGCCGATTCGCGCAAATATAATTTTTTATTGTCTAAAATATAATATAAATTATATGCAATAAAATTGTATATTTATTACAAGCAAATTTATATCAATTTATAGCTCGGTTCTCAAATATAAGTTAAATAATAAATAAGACAATCGAATTTTGTTACTCAAGATACAGTAAAGGCTTGAAACATTAAATTTTTTCATGCACATGGCATAAATTCAATGGGTTAATAAATAAATTAATAAAACCATCACAACATAAAACCTCAGTTTAACAGCAAAACAATTTCCCAATTCATCAACCAATAAATCATCATTATTTTAATATTACTGGAAGCTATACAGTGAGTGACTTCTGATTAGTAATGAAAATTAACCAAAATTAACATTTGGAAGAAAGGGTTAAAATCAAGATCATTTAGTAAACTATCGTTACTCAAATAACTTTTCAAGCTTTTAGATGTAGCAATTTCATCATCTAATATTTTACTTGTATGATATGCATGTGACTTGCGTACTTGCTGTGATTCACCACTATCATCACTACTGCTACTACTTCTACCATCAGTTTCATGACTTTTTAATTTTAGAAAATTTGGTTATTCTCTCAATCAAACTATTATTTTTACCATTATTTGTTAATCTTTTATTTTTATGAATTTCTTTGTGTAGTTTTTTTCCGATAAAATTATTATTTATGCATCAACAAATCAAATAACAAATTCAATGCATTATGCATTATTTGGAACAATAATCAATATACTTTGTTCGGTTCATATAATGAATTCAGCTCAAAAGATTTAAAATATAAAAAATTAATTATTTCAAAAGTAAAAGGAAAATAATTTTTTTCGTTATAACACACAATAGGAGCAAAGCACATGATTCTGCACCAACGTTCTCAATGAACCAGAACCAGCATTTTCAGTTTGTTAGGCAAAGTTTTGCGCTTTGAATAAAAGTAATCTAGCTATTCATGGTTATTAGTCAAATTATATCAGGTCTGATATTTAAGAATAAAATTGTGATTATGCAAACACATAATAAGATGGCAATTATATAATTATTGAAAAATTAAAGAATCAAAGAAATAATAAATATTTAATAAATTTAATAATAATAACATTCATAAATAGTATACATATAATTTTCATATAAAGAATTCATCCATTATTTTGTTGGCTTTAAATCTCTACCTGTTGCAGTTGTTGCTCCTGAATTTGTTGTTGCTCTTGGATTTGTTGTTGCTCTTGAATTTGTTGTTGCTGACTTCTAAGGGCTTCTAACATGGAAGTGTCAATTACATTACTTTCAAGGAAATGCCTAAATCCTTCCAAATCTCTGACTGCTTGTGAGATTCTTACTGAATCAGCATTTGTGCTAGGCAAATTCACAAATTGCGAGAGTTTTATTTCGGTGTGCTCTTTGAATCTTCTGATGCCACAACATCCATTATGTATAATACCCCAGGGTTTCATTGAATCGACTCCTAAAAGTTTTTGAAATAAAAATGAGAAAATTATAGTATATATATAATTTAACCCAAAAAAAAAGTCAACTTGCCGAATAAAAATACATATACGAACACAATGGAACTATAATAGGCAGCAATAGTTCCCAATATGTTCATTATCTAAATATCCAAATGATTATATTATTTTCAAAAAAATAAAAAAAGTGATGAAACTTCAGAAATATTATTGTTATTGCTCACACTAGTGGTGCTATTATTATTATTTGTTAATAAAACATTAGCAAAATGGATTCAACTCAAGGTGTAATAATTGATTGTTTTAAATCATAAAATCAGATTATAGATGATTTTTACCTCTGTTCTTGTTCTACAATTTCGTAGAAGCAGCGTGGGCCGATCCTTACAGTCACATAATACATACTGGGAGAGTTTATAGGAATAGCCTCTGTGATTATTAATCAATAACACAAATAACATCAGCATTAAAAAAGGTTAAGATGCACATTATGACTTTTGAAACAAATATTCTTACGTATATTTGATTCAATGTAAGATTGTTGGTCGTAGGATGATGGGAATCCAATATAAGCAAAAACCGTTTTAATCTGTGTTTTCCTGATCTTTCTTAAAAATTCCAGCCTGTATACCTATTGATTTTTTATTAATAATTTTTAACAATTTAGAAATTCATCCTCTTTCTAAAATATGACCTCAGTAATACATACATAGTTTTTCGATAAAGCATATTTATTCATGCTGAAAAGTGATTCTACAAATCACAGGTAAAAAATAAAATTTGTAAATGCGCAGTTTTAGTTAAATAATGATCAAACTTATGATAAACGGTATTATTAAATTTGCTTTTTCTTACCAATGAATGCATTGGAAGATTTTCTACTTTGAGCATCGACCTGATCATATTCTATTTATCCACTGCCATATTATTATATAAATATAAAAAAGATTATCCATTAACTTATGAAAAACTTACCTGAATCATATGCAGTCATTCTAACTGTAGTTTTCTGGGAGGTCTCATTCAGGACAATAGCAGTTGGATCTATGATACTCATGTAAATAAAAATAAATCTTGGTAGCCCTTTTTCATCATCATCATCATTGGTCAAATTTAAGCTACCATTTGGTGAGAATGAGCCAATGAAAGGAAAATTGACATCATCAGTCTTTTTCGTTTGGGTAATGTATTGATCACATTTGCCTATTTTTGCTTTTAATATTTTGAGTCATATATTAATTAATATTCATAGATAATATGAAATAAGAATAAAACAATTAATAAGTTATCTAAACAGCAAAAGAAAAGAAGCAAAGGAGGAAATTAATAAATTATTTCGACTGCTTACTTCCATTGGTATTGTAATATAACACGCAAGACATGTTGAAGTCTACACTAAAACTCAAATGGACAGCTGCATCGATTTGTAGTTTTGGTATTTTTGGTATTAGAAAACGCGTTGCCTGCCTTTTGTAATACTAATACCAAAAAATATTTTTTTACCTGGAGCCTGTGGATTATGCTTTGGGTTCCAAACGGTACTGATAACAGGCTGTTCATTGACCATCTTTATGGTTAACACGGTAAATGAACCTATCAATGTCAATAATGATATAATGATAATAAAGCGTCGAAGATATAAAACCGATTCTGCTTCACTTCTTCGCGGTCTTTTTATTAAGTCGCGCCACATTTTATTGTTCTTAATTTACTTTTTTTTTTTTTAATAATATTACAAATAAAACTTTTTCTTTAGGCTGTAATTTATAGTTTACAGAAAATAAACAAATAATAAATAAATAAACCGGAAAAAATTTTATTTAAACAAAAATTTCAAAGGGAAGAATTATTGTTTAAGTAAAACAACCAAATCAAAAAACATATTTTACTTTATTTTTCTTCCATACAATAGTTATTAATCTTAGTTAAGATGGAAAATCAAAGAAATTGTAATAAAGCCAAAACTGGTCAAAGTCCACCTACTCCTGCTCCAGCAAAAAAAAGAAAATTGACAGATCCTCTTCTCCTTCTGGTTCAGTATAGACTACTAATTGATCACCTGTATCAACTTCAATCAAACATTTGTTTATACATTAACAAACGAACATAATAATGCTAATCATTTTTTTGGCAAATCTTTGCTCATAAAGACAGTAAATCATTTATCTGTGATTTGAATTGTTCATTCAATAAGCCAACTGAATTTTCTCCCTCCCCCATTCAACTCCTAAACTCGCGATTAATACATCTATGGAAATTGTGGATACAAAATCTATCTCTTCTGACAATACAATCTCTTCCCAAGCCATCTCACCAACCTCCACAACTCAAAATTCCTTTCATCAAATGTTACATATTGTAGATGCTGCACCAAATGTTGCACTTGATGAGTAATATCATTTACACAGTCTGGCCTCTTATTATCAATCAACACAAACAAACAAATGTATTATTGCGGTAACATCAACTATCACTGGTAAAAAAAAATTTTTTTAACAATAGTTAAATGTTTGTTAAAGTGTCAAAAGTTTGATCTTTATTAATTAAAATTGTGCATCTAGGTTAAATTTGATTTTTTACTAGTTTATCTAATACAAATAATAATAATAATAATAATAATAATAATAATAATAATAATGGTCACGTAACAATTCTTATTTATTTATTTTTTGGAAAAAAGAAACAGCATTGTTACGTTATAGATAAATTAAAAACATTTTCAATTTTTCTTCTAGATAATTTGCTTCCAAAGTTATGGTTAAAGAAAAATCGCTAACAAACTGTTATAATTCATCATACGAATGAGATTTTTAATTCTGAAAAATATTTGAACTTCCAGAACGCGTCTCTACAGCATAACAGAGTCATGTTTATTAACATTGATGTACTTTCATATTGAAAATGCATTTTAGTGGTAAAGAAAGAAGCAATCACAAATCAAGTTAGACTCGTCGTTTTGCAAAAGAAAGAATGCTCAATTAATTTGCACAAAATATTCAAAATCGGTTTATTAATAAGTAATTGAAGTATCATCTATTTGATTTATCTCTCGCTACTTTACTTTCACTGAGAAATGTTTACTTGTAACATATTCAACCATCTAATTCGCCAATTTAATTAATTCTAAATGGAAAATTTCGGCAAATGTCAGATACTACACTGCCTGGAAGAAAGTATCCGAACCTCGATTTTATTAATTCCGCAAACTTTTACATAATAATAAAAAATTTTGAAAATATTATCATGTAGCTTAGGTTCTAACGAATGTGTATGCAATATTTCACAATTCTGCTAAATTTGTGATTTTCATCCTCAAATTTTGTATTTTCTCAAAATTTTACATAACGAGAAAAAAACCAAAAACACCATTTTGTAGCCTAAATTCTAAGATATAATTATGGAAAAAATTATTCTCTTGTCATTGGTAGAAAATTTGTTATTAAAAATAATCTGACAATAATAAAATCGATTAAATCAAAAAAAATTTTAAAAATGCCAAAAAATTCCGAATTAACTGAAGCTGAGTGTGGAAAAATTTTGGGTCTTAGATTAGGCGGTAGTAGTCTTAATAAAATTGTAAAGATACTTAAGCTTCGAGAATTAGAGATTGCTTTGCAAGAGGAGTGGTCTAATATTCCTGAAGAAGTTTATAATAAACTGATTGAAAGCATGTCAAGGAGAATTGAGGCATGCATATCTAATAATGGATGGTCCATAGAATATTAAATTTTTTATTGGGATGATGTTTTAATAAAATTTTGGTTTTTAGAAAATTTTTGATGATCATTTTTTTTTGGTTAAAAAATTATTATAAATAGCAGAATTGTGAAATATTGCATACACATTCGTTAGAACCTAAGCTACATGATGATATTTTCAATATTTTTTTTTTATTATGTAAAAGTTTGGGGAATTAATAAAAATCGAGGTTCGGATACTTTCTTCCAGGCAGTGTATATTGATAACGAGAGAATGTGAATAGGAAATAGCAATGTGCAGATAGATACCAACAAACTAACCTTTGGTTCTCTAGAGTAATTTTTGCATTATTATTATTATTAAAAAATGACAAACAATTGTTTTTTTAAGACAAAAAATTTTAATTATTGTTTATTAAAGTTGATGTGTCATTTATGTTTGGAGAATTTGTATCGCTATTACTATTATTATTATTATTATTATTATTATTGTTACTATTACTACTATTACCGCTACTATTGTTGTTATAATTATCATCATTGTTATTAACAGTGCTAGAATCCTGAATCAATGTGCTTATTTTAGCATTTAGAGTATTAGGAGGTGATATGTACGTATTAGGTATGGCAGATGTTAATGCCAATGATAATGTTGATGATGATGACGATGATGATGACGATGATGATGATGATGAAATGGGATTTAAAACAGGTATTGAAATACTGTTATCTAAAGATGATGATGAACCATTAGTAGCAATAAAATTATTACTAATAATATTGGTAACATTATTATTATTTATTATGTTGTTTATAATAATGTTGGATGTTGCAACAGAAATATTTGTGTCATTTGATGAACTTATACCACTCCTCAATCCATAAAGATAACCTCTTTTTATGTAATTATTTAAAAAAAAGAAATAATTTCAACGATTATATTGTTATTATTATCGTCATAACAAATAATAATAAATAATAGACTGCTAGACGTACAAGTATTTATCATCAATCTTATCATTAAAAAAGGTTTGTCGCATCTTGAAGAAGGTTGCCGCTGTCAAGAGACTGTCACTACCAGCCTGATGTTGAGGTCCAATTCTTTCCACCTAATTTAATAATAATAATAATAATAATAAATAAATAAATGAAAACCCCTTTTTTTTATTTTATTTCATTTTATTTTATTCTTCTACCTGTAAATCATCAGCAATATCCTGCAATCCACCTTTAAGATTTTTATGGCTTTTCATAAGATATTTTATATCATATATACATGGAAAGTATGTTTTTAAAAGATCAAAAAAATCGTTTTCTTCAGGTGGCAGAGGCGAACAAGTAAGCACTTTGAGTAAATATCCGAAGTCATAACCACTATAAAACATATTATAATAAAATAATGATGAGTTTTTTTCTTTTTGGAGGGTCAAAAAAAATTTTTTTATGAATACCTACCTGTGAAAAGATATCCATTTCACATCATCAAATAGTACAAATCCTGAACTAATTAATAGTTCACCAAAATGTTCTACGTCTATGCCATAATCCTCATGTTTCTTAAAATCAATACCTGATTTTGTTAATAAATCAATTGAATCCTGGGCATACATGTCACCTCTAAGAGTGTCTTGGGTGGATGGATGGGTGGATAATAATAATAATATTATTATTATTAATATTAATATTCGCATATATATATATATTTAAGTTTTCGAAGTTTGATATTAAAAGTATTAATCAGCAATATAATACGCACATCAAATTGAATTTAAAGTTGAATTGCCATGTACAAATATCTTGTGGTAATTTTCCATTCTCATCTGCAAATGTGATGCCTAATTGAATTATTTTTAATAAATCAACATTACATCGAAGTGTTTGGTAATGGTAATCTGAGCTAGAACGAAAGCTGCCAACTGGCCGTGCCACTACACCAGGAAACTCAGTATCCTGAAAAAAAAGATAATTTACACAATGAGTAAGGTAAACAAAGAATATATTTTTATATAAAAAAATAAATGTTACCATTGCAAGATAAGAATAATCTTCAACTAGATCACGAAGATAAGCCATCTCCTCTTCCAAATTTTCTGCCCATACTTCCCTAATATATTTACTTTCATTACTACCAAGCATTTCTGCAACGATGTATATATATTATATACAAGAAAAAATAGTATTGAATTGGTGCAACTAAAAATTAAATGTATTAACCTTACCATATTTAGTAAGCGTCATTTCAAAAATCCAGGCTTACTTTTCATATGTAATAATAATAAGATTTGACAAAATCTTTCAAATTTGGCAATTTCTCACAGTCATCATAAAAAGTCCATAAGCTCCAATAATCTATTTCTATCTGTTTCGTCTATTTCTTGTGACGATATGTGTGGAATGAATATTAAATCGAGCGAGTGTTTAATTCATACATTTCCCATATCTTTTTCTTTCTTCGTGAGAATTTAGATGACAAATGTATTAATAAGTAGTTATGCTATCATCTTTGAATATTATCAAAGATCTGGGAGTGTCAATCGATTAATCGAAAAATTTTGCATCATAATTCTAATAATAATTCGTTACTATTCATTATCCATCTTTTCATCTACAAATTCCGCCACTACAACAAAAACGACAAGTTCTTCTTCGTTTGTTCTTTTCAAAAGAATGCTTTCTGATGATACAATCACTTTTGTGGCATCTAAATTTGAGATAACAAGGTCGTACTAAGCTTTATATTAGAGGATAACATTTCATTTATTATTTATTATGGTGTAAGTTTATTATTAAATATTAATAAGATTATAATATAATACAATGACAACACTATTTACTATTCCTCTTTATTAATTCGAAGAATTCCAACTCCCCTCCAAAAATCTTTCTCGCCCGCGTGAACCGGCTCGTAAGCCAGCTCGTGAGGAGCTTTACTCATTCCTTATATACATTTTAATTTCCCAATATTTTATGAAGCAACAAACGCGTTAGCTAATAAAAATAAAAGATCAGCAAGGAAATATATATTATTTAGAAACGAAACAAAAAATCGGGTATTGGTATTTTGCCATAAAAATCGCTTCAAATTGTTACGATTTGCCGATCGATTTTTTCGATTTCGATTAATTTTTCACAATCGATTGTTAATAATAATAATAATAATAATATTATTATTATTATTATTATTATATTCATTGTATATCCAATGAACATTTGTTTAATCGAAGGAGAGCATTCAGTCAATATAATAGGAGAAAATAATTATACAATAATGAGAGGGGATGTGTCTTATACTGCTCAGTATTTCGAAGTAAAAGGAGGTTCTAAGAAAGTGTAGTTATCTAAAAATAATATAATTTACTTTCTTCCCTTGCTAATTGTAGATGAAGTAAATGGGGTATTTTTCTCTTTTTCCTTTTGACCAACTTGTAGTCTGGAAGTCAGCTTGCATATGGAAAGATGATCCATTCTTGTGGTGGAAATATAATAAAAATAGATTTCCCGTTTTGTCAAAGTTGGCTACTAAATACTTGTGTCCTACAACGTTCCACTTCAAGTGAGAGATTATTTAGCCAAGATGGAAATACAATACCTCAAAAAGAACAAAACTTGATTTGTTAAGATTGTTTGAAAAGAAATAATTTTGATAGACGTAAAATTAATGAATAATTAATTTAATCAAATGAATGAATACCTTAGTATTTTAATTATAACGATTAATTTAATTGGTAAAATAAATGAATGTTCAAATCTAAATATATGATTATGTTTATCAATAAGAAGTTGAAGAAAAAATTTAGTAAATAAATGATACAATTATTATTATTATTTTGTATCGGATCATACCTCCATATAATAACACATAGCAACCTTTTCTAAAAATGTTCTTACGGATGGGTGTTTTTATATAGAGGTACTCTTTCTATAAGCTTAATAGTGTTCTTATGTTATATGATGTTCTTATATGGGGGAAGGTATGATTATATTATTAAAATTTTTACTTATAAATTATAATCAAGAAAATTTCCGTAGAAAATTTTTTTCTTTTTCACAATTAATAATTTCATATTATAAGAAAATACTAATGTATTACTAAAACAAAATGCAAATAATCGTTAAAACCCTTACCGGTGAAAGTATCACTCTCGAAGTCGAATCTTCAGACACCATCCATGCTGTAAAACAGAAAATTCAAGACAAGGAAGATGTCCCACCAGATTTGCAAAATCTCTTTCCAGGAGAACAATTAGAAGACGGCCGTACTCTTTCGGACTATAACATTCAAAACAAGTCTACACTTCAATTGGTGACTCATCCCCATAGTAGTGTGCAAATTTTCGTTAAAATATTTACCGGTAAAACAATCACACTTGAAGTCGAGTTATCTGATACCATCGACTCTGTAAAACGAAAGATCCAAGACAAGGAAGGTATTCTACTAGGTCGGCAAATATTAATTTTTGTCGGAAAACGATTGGAAGGTGGTAGAACTCTGTCCGATTATAATATTCGAAAAAAGTCAACCCTTCACCTTGACTTTCGTCTCCGTGGTGGTTAAAGATAACAACCATTTAAAAATAAATAATATTCAATGATTTTTTAATACAAAATTTTTATTTTATATTTTAAAAGTGCAAGTAGCATCCATGAAAACTTTTCGATAGAAACCAACATGTTGATTTGAAAATATTTTAAAAATATAATGGAATCAATCAATTGAAATGATTATTCACAATAGTAAGCAAACTTTTTCTAGTTCAAATAAAACTTTTATATAATTATTCTTTTTTTTAAAGAATAGTATAATCAATTAAATAAATAATAAAGAATGTTCACAAGAAAGTGATATATGAAGGAAAGAAAGTAAAAATGATAATCATTAGAATTATGTTACATTTATTGATTTTTGATTGTTTGCTTTTAATTCTGTATCATTAAGTCTCAATATCATCGTTATTCTTGATATATATATATTTTTTTTTTGAGCAAAGATCAAAGCGATGGAACATGGAAATTAAAATTTTAAGTTTATTAATTTTATGATCGATATTGATGTTTTTTGTAGATGAAAAAAGAAATCGGTGACGAGAATTTACGTGTTTATATATATAGATATTTGATTCCCAAATATTACTCAACAAATTATTATTATTTCGTTTAATCTTTAATAATAAAGGGAATAAGGGCCACCACTGACTACCATTGAATAATAACAATCGAACTTGTTAGTTTCAGTGTTGAATTCTGAAACTGCATTCCATACACGACATTTTGAAGGAAAAGCCTGCCATTTTTAATAATGTTGAATTTTTCTTTTCTATATTTTGATTATTACATGGGAATATAAGATCAAAGCCTTGGTATAGTTCGCTGTTGACCAACCAAGGTTAGTGGTTTCGAACGTATTTTTCATTATATTAGATAATTTTTCTCGCTTTCTTGAGATGGATGGAATAATTGAAACTTTTTGTATTTTTTCTGGTTTGATATTCAATGGCGAATGCTTGTGTTTGTTTTGGTGTTAAATCAATACCTTTTGTGTAAATGAAATTCTAATTTTTTTATACTACTTTTACTTGATCGTCTTCCTCGCTTAAAAATTCTTCCTCTAATTCTTTACTTTTCTTTTTCATTGAGTTACAATTGTTTTAGCAGCTAAATGTTTTTTTGCTTTGATAATATTTGGAAAATGTGCGTTGATGACCTGTTGGATTTGTGAACTAAATTCAAATCATTGAACCCAAGAATATTAGGAATGGACAAACTTTAATTAATAAAGCTATCAAAAAAACCAGCTTTATTCATTTGAATGCCAAATTATTCCAATTTTGATGGTAGAAAGTAGAAATTAATTACGGCATGATGCTTTCTTTTTCTAACATTCATTATTTTTCTTTCTTCTTGGTAAATTTCATAGGTAATCCTTTCTTTTCTTAGGTAAGCTTCTAGTGCCTGAGTATCATTTATTTTGAAAATATAAGGAGCAATTTTTTCACCTTGTTCCTTCTTCAAAATACTTCTAATGGTGCTGTAATTTTTGGGTTCCATGGTAGACCTAATGTAAATGGGTTTCATATTAGCTATTTTTGTCTAGACAAATATGTTAAACAAGCACTATTGATCCCTGAAATTCTTGGTAACACCAATGTTCACTTTGGTTTTGTTGCAAGCATGCCCCAAATTAACTATGAATTTTTAAATTTATTAATCATTTTACATTTTATCAAAATTATCAAAAAAACAAATAAAAGTGGTTCAAAATTTTTTCCTGAGGTTATTGTATTTCCAGCTGACTAAATAATCTCTTACTTGGAGTGGACATTGTGGGTGCATAGTAATTAATTTTGACAAAACAGGAAATCTATTTTCATTATGTTTCACCATAAGAATGGATCATATTTTCATCCCAACTTGACTTTTTAGAATCACTCTTTACTTTGCTTTTCTTTAAAATATGTATTATTGCTTTCTCCTGTTATGGTGGCTGAAGGGATTTCTTTCATTTTAAATGAATGGACGTGAGAAATTTTCAATCCAGTTACACAAGATATCGATTATCACTGAATATTATTATATTTGGTCAATTAATCGGTCAATGAAAAAATCAATTATCAATTAAATAGGTGATGGAGCAAACAAATGCAAAAAGTTCTATTGGTACTTTTTTAATTGAGGGAAAAGATAAAGATGTTGCTAGTGCAAAAGATATTTTAACTGATAAGTTTGACCTTAAAGTATCATCATTTTTTTTGTGTGTGCTGTGTGCGTGCGCATTAAAGTTATATATATGAATGGTTTATAATTTAACAATTTACTCAATTAGTTGAATTTTTTATGTTTAGGACAGAATCACTGTTCAAGTGCCTGCATCAGCCCGTTCTTGTTTATTAGGTACAGTCATACAATCGATCGCCAATTCAACTGGTGCATCTATCACTATACCATCACTTCCCAACAATCCAAAAAAAGAATCAGTAAAGTCTGAATTGAATGAGGGAATGATGGATGTGATAATTTTTGGTGAGATGTGGGCTGTTTGTAAAGCAGGAGTTGAAATCCAAAACATTGTAAAATCCATGGTACATTATGATTTATTTATTTATTTATGATTATGATTATGCTTGTTTAATCATAAATTTCATTTGTTTTGTTTTTTTTTTATTAATTGAGTGATTTAATGGGTTATGATCATATAGAGTACAACAAAAATAATACACTATATTAGACATATTGAAAATACGTTTTACCCATTGATTGCTGGTACACACAATCAACGTATAAATAAGATTAGTACTGATACTGGTACAAAAATTCATGTACCTTTTTACAATTTTGATAACCTCAACACATTTGCCAATATAAAAAAAAATTATATTACCATCACTGGTGATGGAAATTCAGTTAAGATTGCAAGTAAAATGATTGAGGATCTTTACGAAGATTTGGTAGATTGTTTTAAGCTTTTTTTATACATTTTTAAAAATTTTTTTTTTTTTTGAAATTATCATACTCATATATATTCAAAACATATAGAAAATGAATACGTATGCTCTCAATGTTGACATTCCAAAACGTCAACATAGATATCTAATTGGTCCAAATGGTGCTAATCTTAATGAAATACTTGAAACAACAGGTTGCGTACTAGAATTACCACCAGCAACTGATCAATCAGTGAAAGTGGTGATTTATGGACCACAAAACCAATTAGCGGGTGCCTTACAAACTGTAATCGAAAAAGCAAACTCCATGCATGTTCAACAACTTGATATTACTGACTTTCATCAGACAGAAAATCTGATGAAACATTCTATTAATGTCTTGAAATATTTATGGAATAGAGGCAAGTTGAAGAAAATTGAATCGGAAACTGGTGTGCAAATTTTTACTCCAAATATTGCATCATCATCATCATCAACAACAGAAATCCAAATGAAGAATTTGGTTATGGAGTTTGTGGGTAAAGTACCTGAAGATGTGGAAAATGCTAGAAAAGAAGTCACTGAAATAATCAAAAATTTGGTGAGTTAAAATGAACTTATTAATAATAGCAAACAATTTTAAAGAAAAAGTACACTAATATATACAAATGCATACACAATCACTTACACATATACATATAATAGCCTCCTAGTTATTTTGATGTGGTAATGATTAGTCAAAAATTTAATCAGCATGTAATTGGTTGCAAAGAGCAAAATTTACAACGAATCAAAGATGCTTATGGTGTTGAAATAATAGTTCCTGATGAGAAGGAAGCCAACCCTGGGATATTGATAGTTTTTGAGGGTAGAAAAGGTGACAAGGAATTTTCTGATAGAAAGAAAAAAGAACTTTATATTATGGAAATAATGGAAAAAGTGAAAAATGAATTGTTAAAAATGGAATGTGATTTGTCATCAGATTTTTCTGTTCAAACATTAACAAAACATCATCAGCATATTATTGAAAATACTTTGAATACAATTATTTATAATGACAGTAGTAATGGTAGCGGTGGTGCATATCCACCTGTTTCATTAAAATCTGGATCGTCTAAATCATCAGGTACAAGTGATCAATCATCAAACACACAACAAATTTCAGATAATTCTATTATAGTTAAAGGACCTGCTAAAGAGGTTGAAAGAATAGTTGAAGAAATTAATGAAAAAGTAGAAGATGTTAAACGTATTGAGGTTTGTCATTACACATCTACTTTACTTGTAAGGGATATTATGACTATAATTATCATGCCATATCTATAATATATTTATATAATTATTATTTTAGAATACTAAACCATTTACAGCAGAATTTAAAATTCTAGCAATCTATGCCTCAGATATTATTTGTAAGGAAGAAATAAAATTTATCTGTGATAATTATAATGTTACGATAAATATAGATAATGGACATTTTAATGAGGGAAACAGTGGTAGTAAAGAAGACAAATTTGTTGATATTAAAATAGTCGGGATGAAAGTTCATGTTGAAGAGGCCAGGAATCGAATTCTAGGCATAGTTAATAAATTAAATAGAAAAATTGTTGTTTGTGTGATTATTCCACCGCAGTATCATGCTTCACTGAGACCTAAAGTTATTGGACATCTAACAGTGAAACATGGTGTACGTATTCAATTTCCAAAACAAAATAATCGTGCTATCATTACTACTAGTATTGGTAGTGAAATTGATGAAAGTGAAGATGGTAGTGATGTAGAAAAAGAATGTAAAAGGGAATGTGAATATGAAGATCTCGATCTAGATGAAAAAAGATCTTATCAAGTATTAATAACTGGTAATAAAATAGGAACTAGTGCGGCTAGATTAGAATTATTAAACCTTTTTTATTATATAAAAGAATATGATGATGTTCTCAGTTTCACTATTCCGGCCAAATACGTGCCACATATTGTTGGCAGGAAATCAAGAAGAATCAAAGAGATCACTACTAGCACATCTACAAAGATTAAAATTAACAGGCTAAATCGGTGGTTTTTCAAAGTAACTGTGCATGGTTATAAAATGGATAATATCAAGGCCCAAAATAAGATTCTGGAGATTATTAAAGACATTGAAGAACAAGCAGTAACCACTATAAATATTAATCCCAGGCATCATAATTTTTTGTTTGATAATATTAATGAGATTATAGCAAAAGCTGGTGGACCAAAGAATAGGAGTGTCCAAGCTGAAATTGTCAGATTTCCTGGTCGTGCCAGTGATGTGGTCTTAATTAAAGCAAATAAAGAACTCGTGGAAAAAATTAAAGAGGAATTTGAAATTTTAATTAAAGAACAAGAAGTATGTATTAATTAATTGATGTTGTTATAGATTTCAATGTCTATTTTTTTATTATTATTTACAACAAATTTTTTTTGCACAGAAAAATTTAATAATTGATGCTATTAAAGTTCCCAGATATGAACATTCAGTTATTAGAGGCAAGCGTGGATGCCAACTTCATAAAATTGAAAATAAGTTTAATGTCGAGCTTCATTTACCTGGTTCTTCACGTTTCTATCATTATATAAGAGTGCCACGGAAAAAAGGAAAAGGAGAGCTGACAGGTGATGATTTAATAAAAATAATAGGAAAAGAAGTTGAAAACGTTGAATTGGCCAAAGAAGAAATATTATCAATACTTCAATATGAAGATGTGTTTAAATTTCCATGTAAATTATACAATGTAATTAATGATAATGGATCAACGTCAAGAAAATTAACAAACATGTACAATGTACAAATTAAACATCAAACAAATGAAAGGAAACAAATTTCAACAATTATTAATAAAAGACCAATTTTTAAAAAAAAATCTACCAAAGGTGTTATCGAAGAGGCAGAAGGAAATGATGATGATGAATTCAATGTTAATAAATTTGTTTTTAAAATCATTGACGATGATGGTGAGGATGAGGAGATGGAAGAGGTGGAAGAGGTGGAACCAAGAATTGGAAATAGAATTGAAAATGATAAAGAAAAAGTTTCGAAATTTATTTCTTGGACGCTTAAAGGTGCAAGAGGACAAGTAGAACAAGCTATAAAATATTTAAATGAATTATTAGAACAAGCGGTAATTATGAAATAATTTTTTAATTGATTTATTCCTACTTCCTTAACTCTTCTTTCTTTCTTTTAATTATATGTTAGGTTAATGCATGTACCGGATATTTATCAATTCCTCAAACATATCATCGACATATCATTGGAGGCGGAGGATCAGTTATTTCGTATATTAGAAGAGAGAGCCAATGTGTGATTAACATGCCTGAAGTTAACAACGATGATACAATTGTGATCATTGGCAGTAAAGAAAATATTGTGGTGGCTAAGGATATGATATTTGAAACATTAATTAACTGGAGAAAAGAACAGAATAAAAACAATCGAAAATACAACTCTAAACATTTTGAGTGCTAATTCATTTTTTACACACTAATACTACAATGCATTGGAGTATTTTATTGGCCTTTCAGTCCTCTAATTTTAAATGAAAGATTAAAAGGTCATCATTTTTTCTCCCGTTTAATAAATATGATTGTAGTAAATACAAATAGTGATAAGAAGTTTCGTATAAGGTTCACATTAAAAAAAACTTATATATCTATATTCCTTTGTAAACGTAATTTGTTTTTTTATATAAATTATAAATTATTTTATTACTGTAATCTGTACAAAAACTGTCAAGGTAATTAGTAAGCATCTTGAGTTGCCAATGAGAAATGCTAATTATATTTATAATAATGGAATTTATCAAGCCAGACACATACATGTTGGACTTTAAAAAACCCCCCACACTGCTATTCAATTCAGCTTTAAAAATGGTGCCAATTCATGTAAAAAAGTCTAATAATAATTTTCATGTTGCTATATATCACAATATTTTGAAAATTTGTTACTACTTTAAGTGTATAACAAACAAAATTTGGAATTTTCAAAATTCTAAGGCTCAGCCAGTTTTTAGTTCAAGAAAAAACTGGCTGACAAGTTTTGAAGCTTGAGTTATAACAATAAAACTTGTCAGTATTTGACGGATTTAACAGATTTTTCATATTAATATTAATATTTAGATGGTTTGAACCATACAAGAAACAAATTAATTCATGTGTACACCACAATTAGTGAAATTTTGGGATGTAAAACCTACATATTAATATGATAAAAGAAGTTACACTTACTGATCATAAATAAGGACACTTGCGTATCATTGGAAATAATTGAATAAAAAAAAAAAAAATGAATTTTTCGGAATTTTCAAAAAAATCTTTAACTCGAAAATTGACCACAATGGCAAGTTCTAACGACCTTTATGGTATAAGTGAAAATGCGTCTTATGTTTAAATCTAGTTATATCCAAAATTCTAGATCATACTCAAACGAATTAATTTTGAAGATCTTTTAAAATAATTCGTTTAAAGATAAACTTCAACCACTTTATTTTTTTTTAAAGAGAATTTAAAATGAACAAAGCTACTCAATTATCTGAATTCGAACGCGGGGAAATTTTTGGCTTAAAAAAGGCCGATTTTTCTTATAGAGAAATAGCTCGCATATTAAATAGATCCAAAAATGCAGTCGAAAAAGACCATTAATGATTATTTTCCAAAAAATAAAACAATTCCAGCTCTTAGACCTGGCAGGATTTAAAAAGAAGACTTAGAATGAGAAACCCAAAACAAAAAATAAAACCGAACTATTCAATTTATTAAATGGGAATGGTTTAATAAATAGTATGCCACGAAGAGTGGATGCTATTTTAAAAAATAAAGGAAACCCGGCACGATATTGATTCTTTTTTAATAAAATAAATCAATTTAAAACAGTTTCATATATTTTTTGATGTCTTTTATGTTTCAAATTGGTGAGCAGTTTGAGGTTGAATCGTTCGTAAAATTTTCTACGTTTTATTTTTTTTTCTTATTAATTAGTCTACCAAATGCTCTAGAATTTTAGATGTAACTAGATTTAAACATAAGACGCATTTTTCACTTATATCACAAAGGTCGTTAGAACCTGCCATTGTGGTAAATTTTCGAGTTAAAGATTTTTTTCGAAAATTCCGAAAAATTCATTTTTATTTTTTAAGGTTCGTAAAACAATGAATGTTTATTTATATGCGGCGAAACTTCAGTATATTATGCTATTTGATATGAAGATGATTTTTTACTTAATAAGCAAATGTGGTTAGGATAACAAAATTTTTATTTTTTTTCGTGTTTTTTTATTCAATTATTTCCGATGATCTGCAAGTGTCCTTATATTTATGACCAGGAAGTGTATGTGCAAGTGAGCAGGGAGAGACCATTCTATATTTCCCGTACCACTGTTTATTTACAAATATAGGCAAACAACAGATTTAATTTACAAAAAAAAAATCAAAACAAAAATCATACAATCTATCCCAAGTAAGGAAAAAAGCAGTGTTACGGGATTTGAGTAATCTTTTATAAGTGTTAAAGAATTTGCTATTTGATCGACGCGTACTATTAAATTATTGGCACTTTGTTTTTTTTGTTGACGCGCGATTGACTTTTTTTGGAAAAAAATTTATTTTCAAAGATGACAAAACACGAATGATGTTTTTTGGCATGGCTTTGAAGACGTGTTAATAACCAACCAGAGGTAACTATTTCAATTTGGATTGATATGTTATTGAAATCAAAACGCGGAGCAGAACTTTCTGGGTAATTATAAGATCCTTCCTTATCAAGATGACAACAAAATAAACGATTGGTATTTTGCTTTTCGTAATCAGTAATGTTAATATTAATGTAAATATATAATTACATGAAGACGTCAAGGTAGCACACCACTGAATATGAAACAATTCAATATGCAACGTTTGATTATCGGAAATTTGCAGACGGCACACACGTTACCTTGAACAATTTACAGTCATTCTCATGTCTTCCTCGTTGTACACAAGGCTAATCTGACTGGAAAGCCTGATGATACAATGTTGCAACAAAATTCCAGGGAGTGAGTCAGGCCCTGGGGTTTACCAAGGTTGCATCAACATCAATGACACTTTCACCAATCTTCCCAGACCAGTGAAGGCTGCTGACACGCTAGCTGAAAAGTTGTCTGCAAGCAACTCTGGAAGAATATTAAGAGAATATGCAACTCGTTTCAAGCATAGGGAGGTTACAATTCAGAGCAGGGTTGGTGGCCCTGAAATTGCATTTGGGCTTTGATGTTAGGAGGAAGGCTGTAAAGTAAAATGGTTCAGATTTTGTTTGGTATGTTATAAATTTATCATTTTCATAAATTCTTTGTTTCTCTTTAATTTTTATTATTTAATGGGGTAGGTTTGTTGGTAAGTTGGAATGCCACTGACAAGACAGCAACCC